CTCGCTGAGGAGCAGCAGAGTCCCGGGGACATGGACGTACTTATAGGATTCGAGACGAATGCCCAGGGGAAGGGAGCGAGTGTTACGACGGAACAAGAAGGCTGGCCAACTACAGGACAGGAAGGAGGAGGTCGCATGAGACCGGCCCTGGTACCTGGAGGGGCAGCGGGGAATAGTAGTTCCGAAAGTATCACGTGACGGACTCGCAGGATGATGAGAAGAGTCCTAAGAGTCCAGGACTCCGAGGACTCGAGTGAGTTCCCAAGAGTCCACTAGGCACGACGCCACTATATAAGTAGATAGTATTTCCTTAGATAGGAGCTTCGTGCTCAACTCAATACAGTATTTGTTATATACTAGTAACGTGTTACTTGAAGCCTTTGTGTCTGATCCCCTGCCTCCTCTGATAAGTAAACCTTTACGCAAGAGAACCTCTGTGTCTTCTATCGTTTAGAAGTCAGCGTTACAGACGGCTCCCTACGGTTATGTGTGGACTATCGAGCGTTGAACAACATCACAATCAAGGACAGGTATGCCCTGCCGTTAATCAACGAACTACACAATAGATTTCAAGGAGCAAAGATCTTCAGTAAGCTAGATCTGCGAGGAGCATACAACCTGATCCGAATCAAGGCTGGGGAAGAGTGGAAAACAGCATTCCGCACCCGCTATGGCCTATTCGAGTATCAAGTCATGCCCTTTGGGCTAACAAACGCACCCGCATCTATGCAACGACTGATGAATGATGCTTTGCACGAATACTTAGACATCTTTACCATTGTGTTACTCCCTGATGACCGTGTGCTGGTAACGAGTGTTGTTCTTGCACCAGCGGGCGTCTCATTTGACTTGGGACATACACTAACCCTTTGTATCGAATCAATCCTTGTTCGTCGATGGTGAAGTCGCCTTCGACTTTGGACAAGACTCGCTTGGCGCATTCGTCTGTTGCGTAAGCTTTCTTGAGTCTTTCCTCGAGTTCTGTATCTTCGATGACTGAGATCGTCGCTAGTAACTCGTTGTACTGTATTCCTGCATCTGTTTTCTTCAGAATTGCTCTAGGTCTTTCTTCCTTTGGGCCGGCGTAGTCGGTCCGTCTGCTGAGAGCGTCTGCTCTTGCATTCTCGGAGCCCTTGCGATAGGTTATCGTGAAGTTGTAGGCTGCGAGGGTTTCTGCCCAGCGGACTTGTCTGCGGTTTAAAACCTTGGTCGTGGTGAAGTATATGAGGTTCTTGTGATCCGTCCATACCTGCACAGGGTAGGTGGATCCCTCAAGATATACTCGCCACTGCTCAAAGGCAACGACAATAGCCAGTAGCTCCTTGTCGTGGATGTCGTAATTGAGTTCCGCGGGTGACAGTTTCCTAGAGTAGTACGCGATTGGTTTGAACTTACCGTTCTCGTCTGGTTGATTCAGACATGCTCCAATTGCGAAGTCAGAAGAGTCCGTTTCGAGGATGATCTTCTTTGCAGGGTCAAATGTAGCAAGGATAGGTGCTTCCGTGAACTTCGTCTTAAGTTCCTGGAAAGCAGCCTCTGCCTTGTCCGTCCATTTGAATTCGAGATCCTTTCTGGTAAGCTCCGTGAGTGGTTGAGCTACCTTGGAATATCCCGAGATGAATCTTCGGTAGAAGTTGGCGAAGCCTAGGAAGGCTTGCACTTCCTTGACCGTGGTCGGTGTTGGCCATTCCAACACTGCCGTTACTTTTGCTTGGTCCATCTTGATGCCGTGCGTTCCAATAATGTAACCCAAGAATTCGACTTGGTTTTTATGGAACTCGCACTTCTCTGGTTTGAGGAGTAAGCTGTACTCCTTTAGTTTCTTCAGGACGAGTTTGACATGCTTGACATGCTCCTCCTTGGTTGCTGAATACACCAGGACATCGTCTAGGTAGGTACTACTTCCCAGGTATGAGGAAGCAGGTAGAGACAGTGGTAAGAGAGTGCGACATTTGCAGCAAGTCAAAATCCAATAGGCATCTGCCATACGGACAACTCAAGTCGACACCAGTACCAAGAGGAGCGTGGAAATCAATAGCTTTGGACTTCATCGTCAAGCTTCCACCCTCCAAGGACCCGTTAACAGGAATAGAATATGACTCTATCCTCATCATCACGGAAAGACTCACGAAATATGGGAAGTTTATACCATATCTAGAAGCTAGCGACGCCGAGGCGCTCGCATATACCTTCATTCGAGTCATATTAGCCGATCATGGGATGCCAGAAGAAATCATCTCAGATAGAGACAAGCTCTTTACTTCGAAATTCTGGAAATCATTGATGGCGCTACTGGGAACAAATCATAAGCTATCAACAGCTTTTCATCCCCAGACAGACGGCCAAACAGAAAGATTAAACCAGACCCTTGAACAGTACCTGCGAAGCTATGTCAATCATCAACAGGATAACTGGGTTCAGATCTTACCCATCGCACATCATATAACAGCGCGATGACAGAAGCAACGAAAGTCTCACCGTTCTTTGCCAATTATGGCTACCAGCCAGAAGCATATAGGCAACCAAGACCGGATGAATCACGAGCTGAACAAGCCCTGATCGTGGTGGAACAACTGAAATCATTCCACGAACAACTTGCGACGGACATCCAATTCTTAAATGAACGATCCGCCGCATACGCAAACAAGAAGCGCAGTATGGAACCTGCCTTCAAGGAGGGGGATAAAGTATACCTACTCCGGAAACATATCAAAACGAAACGACCAAGCACAAAGTTGGACTTCAAGAAATTGGGACCATTCAAAATATTGAACAAAGTCAGCTCAGTTAATTACAGACTGCAGCTACCCAGGAAGTCTAGACTACACCCGGTATTTCATGTCTCACTACTGGAACCAGCAAGAGGAAATACCCCAATTGCGACCGACACCGAACTCCAACCCGAGAATGAGATAATCGAATATGAGGTCGAAGCGATCCTAGACAGAAGGTTAGTAGGACGTCGAGAAGAGTTTTTGATAAAATGGGAAAATTACGAACCTACGGATAATTCGTGGGAACCAACAAGGAACATCAGCAAAGAACTGCTGGAGGAATATTGACGCCGCCATCCGCCAGCCATTGATCCCAAGATGCAGGGGAGTAGGCCAGTGGATCGGAGGAAGCGGGGGTCCCGGTCACAGACGAGGAGGCAGCGCTAACTGCCTGTTCCTCGACCTCAACAGCGTCACGCTTCTCAGCAGCCACACGTTCGGCCTCCTCTGCCGCATCAAGCTCGTCGAGGGTTTTCAAACCTCGCCGGAGCATATCTTTACCACGGGTTCGGATGAGGCGTTTCTGCTTCCGCAGACGAAGTAACTTTGAAAGGGTTTCTTCCTCTTCGCGATCCAGGCGATCCTCCTCCCGTTCGAGCTTCACCCAGTCGGGATGCTCAGGACCCATACAGTCACATTTTTCTTTTAAGTTGCGACGAACGCACTCGGCGCACCGCCGTGAATCATTTGGAGACGACACGCAAGTAACGTTTCCCCTCACGCAGTTCGAGCAAGAATCCATTTCGGGTAGTTCGTATCCGTGGTTCTTTATTCGACGGACAAGATCGTTGCGTTCCTGGAGTTTGCGGGCAGTGTCAGTAGGCATGTTGCATGTTGAAGGACTCGCTGAGGAGCAGCAGAGTCCTGGGGGCATGGACGTACTTATAGGATTCGAGACGAATGCCCAGGGGAAGGGAGCGAGTGTTACGACGGAACAAGAAGGCTGGCCAACTACAGGACAGGAAGGAGGGAGGTCGCATGAGACCGGCCCTGGTACCTGGAGGGGCAGCGGGGAATAGTAGTTCCGAAAGTATCACGTGACGGACTCGCAGGATGATGAGAAGAGTCCTAAGAGTCCAGGACTCTGAGGACTCGAGTGAGTTCCCAGGAGTCCACTAGGCACGTGATGGACTCGCAGGATGATGAGAAGAGTCCTAAGAGTCCAGGACTCCGAGGACTCGAGTGAGTTCCCAAGAGTCCACTAGGCACGACGCCACTATATAAGTAGATAGTATTTCCTTAGATAGGAGCTTCGTGCTCAACTCAATACAGTATTTGTTATATACTAGTAACGTGTTACTTGAAGCCTTTGTGTCTGATCCCCTGCCTCCTCTGATAAGTAAACCTTTACGCAAGAGAACCTCTGTGTCTTCTATCATTTAGAAGTCAGTGTTACACTCCAGTGGCAGGGTGTGCAGAGATATAGATGCAGAGGATTTTGGAGCTGGCGACCTGGCTAGCGAGGGAAGAGGGAATGTATCGGATGGTTGACATTGTGGTGGGGCGTGTTGATTAGATATCTTTATAAAGTGTTCGACTGGAAGCGGAATTGCTTCGATGAGAGTAGAGATGAGCTTGTTGGAGAGTACTGAAGAGATAGAGGGCTTTATATAATAATATAGAGGGCATAAGGTGATAGAGACGTAGAAAATTCAAGGAAACTTGCCGCAGAAGATTTGAGCGCCTAAACATCACGTTGGTATAATCCACTTCATTTGAGGTGAAGGCTCTACAGCTTAGGCGCTCAAATCACGCGGTAACTTTCCTTGGCTTTTCACTGCCATATCAAGGCTTATGTGCGTCGTAGACCTACCAATTCAGTATCGATGATTCCCCATGTCTCGACTTGAAACTCCTTCAACTTGGGCAACTTGGCGGGCTTCCACATTCACGACGGTAAACAAAGGTACTCGGTCACAAAAATAATCCTCGCGACAAGTGATACATTTATTGTATGGAGCAGATAATCCTGGAGTTTGGTACGAGAAACTTTGGTTATATAAGCCAATGGAAGGAGCTCTTTCCAATCTTAAAGGACAGAGCAATCAATTGGCGGTTAACTATTTGCTCTCGATCGATGACTCAGTAGCGTTCAGTTAGCTTGGCATTGGGATGGATTGTCCGCATCGAACGAAAAGCATCTAATATCGCCCTATTAGGGCTAGCAACGTTGGTGCCACGCGGCAAAGGAACCAATCCTTTCGGATGTACGCTACTATGTGATTTGCCATAACAATTACACTCCAAGTGCTAACGAAGCCAAGTTGGATTTCTTGGAAGGTTTAGTATGTCTATCTGTTCAGTTACGTTGCCTTGCTATCAGTTGAATGGTCACGATTATCCTGTTAAATTCTTCACTCAAACTAACTACAGTATCTACTCTTTAACTGCCATCTGCAAGTTAACATTGCCATTGTCCAAGGTCGGCTCTGTTGTATAGTGAGAGAAAAAAGGGATGGAGAATAAACAATGTGCTGTATCAGAACTGGCTCTGCTCGTAATCATAGTTCCCTTTCCATGAGATATATAAACCTTGCTTCTAATATACATCTCCATAAGTCCAGGAGCCGGCTTGATCTATGAACGCTAGAAGAAATCAGTATTTCACTGGGCAACACGAGACATGACCTTACCAATTTTCCAGAAGGTTTACAAAATGCTCCTGTACTCAGCGCAAATCCAATATCCTCAAGTTGCTGGATCTCCTCTTTGAATTGGCCATCATCCATCAACCTCAACAACCCTTGGGCAAAGGCAGGATCCACATTCCTCGACAAAGCTGCTTTCTCGAAATATGACGGGTATGCACCTGAGTATGCCCAATCTATGAGCCAAACATTCCCCTGACCGTCGAGAATCATGTTCTGGGCATGCAGATCGAAGTGGCATATAACAAGCTCTTGGAATTGACCGGTAAAAGAGGGCTGGGTAGCTTTTACAAGTCCGAATTCCTGACAGACGAGAAGGCGCTCATTGAACCACTCTTCCAATTCTTCCCGCGAGAGAAACGGGCCGGCGCCATAATCGGTGAAGTACGTGCCGTTTGAGACTCCACCGCCAATAGGGCCGGGCATGGCCAATCTTGTGCGCTGAAGTTCTCGAATCATCTCGTAGACCTGCTGATGTATGCTGAGGCGGCGCTCTGAACTGAGCCCGGGCCACACGTCCGAGACCAGATCACCCTGGACATACTCCATCACAATATAAGTCGTGGTTGACTCTTCCTGTAACGGGGCTGCTTTCGTTTCCCAAGCATCAAAGACCTTTGGCAATCGCACACGTGGCATTTTCGCAACATATGTCATCGTCCTCGCCTCCCAAAGATGAACCTCAGAGCCATACTTTACCACGACGGAGCTGGAAATGCGAGCGATTTGAGTATAGGCTTTACTATAGATTTTTGGCGCATCGTCCAAGGCTCGGATGATATCTTCTCTTGAAATAGACTCCAGCGACCAACCCTCGAGGGGGAATGCTTGAGAGACTTGTTGTGCTTCGGGCATGTCGAGTATAGTGCTTCGCTTTGACAGAATTTATAATGCGTAGGCGGAAGCGAGGCATGCGTTAGGCGTTGATGGGAAAGGTGAGGTGGATTTGGTGCCTGATTTTAGCATAGGATTGCACCCGTCTTGAGGATAACTCTATACAATAAATGCTGTAGAGTGGTGACGGAAGAGAGAGATAGGAAGTGGAGGTTGGAGTGGAATCCGAGAGGTTCAGGAAACATCCCGCTAATAATTACTACTGAGGTATTTCAAAAATCCAAAGTCCATAATCCGCTTATTTGTGACATATACAGCCAAGCCGGCTTAAAGTAAAGAAGGTGTGGTAGCTAAGAAGAAGACACGGAATCATCACAAGTTACTCAAAAATAGAGGTTACTTGGAGTTCGTTGGAGAGCGTGTTTTATGGAACCTTCCGAAGTCGGTGCGTCGGGGTTGTTTTCGGTAGTAGCTGGTTGCTGACGTGAGCAAGTCTAAGGATCACCTGATGCACCCAATGTGCGAATCAGAAGCAAATGCCTTGGGTTAAACTCATTCTCCATCCACTATTTTAATCACATGATATTATTTGAGTTGGACTGTAATTTTTGCCTGAAGATCTAGGCCACGACATCTTCAAACTGATGTTGTCAGGGACAGTTCGTACGTAGAATAGCTTACGGGGCACGGCATGAGGTTGCACTATCAGAGCGCCAACCAAGTTGTTTCCATAGTTAACATACCTAGTACATAATACACAAACTCCCGTAACAGTAGCACCTTATATCGTACTGGAAACGATTTGCAGTTTGCAGTCCTAAACGTAGTGATTTGGCCTCACATCATTGAACATACGGCTATTGCGGCTCCCAGAAGAAAACAGTCGCCCAGATACGTTCCGAGCAGTTCGGTGCCTCAACGGCTCTTTGATACTTTACCTGATCCACAATTACTGGATATTGGCGCCATGCCAAACAATGGCTCACCCAACCCACACCTTGTTGGCGGCCCGCTGCACGACAGCCCGCCAACCTTGGTTTCTCCGCCACCTGTGTAGTGCCAATCATGACCGAAGCCGAATGGATTCCCAGAATAGCATAAATAGGACAAACATTCGACGTAGTGGTCCACCGCACATATGCCCGGGCACGCGTCGTGCGATAGTTATTGGCTACATATGCCCTCCATGAGATCGCCAGGCGCATGCATATTGATTATGTTCCCAGCCACCAAGTCACAATAAATGAATGTAGATCAATACATTCCAAATCCTTGCAATTACCCAGGACGATTTGATAACTGCAGCACCTGGGGCAACTCGAAGCGAGCACTGATAATATCGGCCTGCAATACCGCAGTTATTTTCAATTTGGGAAACATAGTGTTTCCTCATTGCCTCTTCCAGTACATTACAAATAGATTCCCCAGATAGTTTCTAATACGGTCGCGCTCATTCGTGTTTTACACTGATCGTTTGAGAGCAAACACACGGAATAATAGAGGACACACTTTTAAACAAACCTTGGTAGCTTCATACCACATCCATGACGTTCTTGATACTACTGAACTATAAGTGAGTTAACAGGACCGTGTCTTATTCATTATATTACTGCTTGCCAACCCCTATCTTATCTTTTTTGGCCTCGTTGGAAGACTCCATCTCTTCCTTTAGCCACTCGACAAAGTCAGAATGCTCTAAAGGCGTATTATTCGAATCACAGATATCTACTCTCCTAATTCCTCGAATGGAACTAAGCTCACAAATACCAGGATCAGCTTTATAAGCGCCCGGAGACATGCCCAGTATGAGGTCGCTATCGAAATAAAGACGCAAGTATCTCAGCCTCTTGCAATGCTTGAGCAGCTGGACACACTTTGCGACATGAAGGGTTGGCAAAGTCAGCGAATGCCCGTTAGGCCCCGGAGCTTCAGCCCATTGACACTGAAGATCTGTTCCGCTATGCCAGGCAAGTTCCAGTGATTCAATGTTGTCACGACCAATATCGCCAATTGCAATCAGAAGCTTTATGAGGTCGTCCATGTCATCCAAGTGAAACACCATCTGGCGATACGCAAGGCACAGTGCCTCCTGACGCATCTGTCTGTTGACTCTGAGCATGGTGTGGCTACTTAGTGAAAAGTAGAAACCACTAGGATCGCCTATACCTTTAGCGAAGATGAGCTCATTAAAATTGTCAACATCTTCTATTTGCCATTTCCCGGCTGGGAGTGCGAAAGCATAGATCTTGTCACGGAGTTCTTTCGGGAGCTTAAAGAACATCGATTCTAGACCGTGGATTCTATCAACTTGCAACTAGATACCGATTCAGTTCATTTCTAATAAGACTCCTGTGATGTCTACCTTTGGAACGGTCATGGCCCTGAATGCTTCGTTCTTAGTAAGTAGCAGAGGTAAGTCGAATCCGAAACCATAGTGAATATCTACAGCAAAAGTGTAAAAGCCGACGTGACTCCTACGTGTGAATATCACGCTTTCCAGACCATGGTCAATTATCTATGACTATGTTAGCTTGAAGAGCTTGGATAGAGGCTGGCTACTTTTGGGTACGTCAAAATCCGGAAGCATTTCCTCCAAAATGATGTCATCTGCTTTGGCAGACCTCTGCTTTTCATGCTCCTCGAATTCTGCTTTGGTCCTCTCGTAGACACTACTAGGAACCGGTCGGAGATCAGAGTAGAAGCGTTTCACACTCTCCTCAGGATAGTTTGAGGAATCGATTCTGTATCCTAGCTTCCTTTCCATCTCCACAAGCGTAAGTGTGGGCTTGCGTTTAGCCATGTGGAATGACTGGATCAATAAATCTTTCTCGGATGATGGTAATAGGTGGCGATGATAGTTTGTCTTTCGTAGATGAGTTTGCTATCAACGTAAGAAGTAACAGTTGGGGTAGCGTTTGAGTCAGCTGATTAGCTTTGGCGCCCTCGGACCTCACGCACACTCTGCAAAGGCGGTGAACGTTCTGCACAAACAAAAGTTAATTGGCGGAGAAGTGACGAGCACAGACGAGGACAAACAAACCAGATCAATATCCTCACGAAGAGCTTTACTACAGAACAGAGGAACTTAAGGCAGCAATCAGAAGATGATGGAAAGTATTTGGATTTAGCTATCCAACATCCAAGTTTCAACCACGTATGTGTATGTCCCCTCTACTCCACCGACCTGTCGACCAAGATGAACCCTCTAGCAGAGCTGGAGAGGCAGATAGGAACAAAGCCCGACCGAAAACGTCGAAACACGTCAGTGTATCACGAAGAGAACAAGCTGACATTAAATGGGCCAAGGAAGCAACACAGGAAACCGCCGCCACTGCGTCCGAGTACGGCGTAACCAACTCTACCTGGAGAAGATAAACAATACCAATCGAACAGCCGTGGGCCAGATTCTGCCCAGCTACAACATGGCGTGGCCTGTCAACAGGACGCGGCGTAGTTTTATGCAACGATGATGAGATACGCCGCCAATAACAGCGACCCTGTACGGCTACTAAAGAAGCAATACGTCGATTTCGAAGGGAAGTCAGCATATCTAACTTCGGCTCGACCCAACACAATGCTATAACTGTCAAGACTTTGGTCACACGGCATATGTATGCACTTAAAAAATGTTTTGGGCAATCTCATTTATGGGATATCTATCATGGAGCATAATTTCCTGTATTTGTACACTGTAATATCATGATAATAAGTATAACATTGGATAAACCAACAAAGCCCATTAGGTTCGCAACGGCGTGCGAGGATAATCGAAGAACCAAAGAGGAAATATCAAGAAAGCAAGATTGGAACTGGGGGGCCTTGATACTACCAGCAGCATTGCTCCACTATGGCGAACTTGAGCGACTGGTACGGAGACGCTAACAGCGTTGAATTCGTTTCCGTCCGAGTTGGTTTTATATAGTAGGCACGCTACATGCAGCACACGCCGTCTGAAAATCCACGAAATCTAAGCTCCTTGTTATCTCCCGCCGACATACGCTACAAGTCCCCAAATTCCAGATGCAGCATCCGCTCTCAGATCAATGAGTCCTTGCTGAGTCTCCCGAACACTATTCACCCCGGTGCTCGTTATTTTCTGGTACATCCAATGTAGAGTTATGATGCTGCATGTCGCCAGTGTTCAGGTTGTCACCGAGTTCATGGCCGGTCGGCTGGAAGTGTAGCATTGTGGCTGCGGTGCCCTTGGGACGTTTGGAAGGGTTTTGTGTGCAGAGCTGGCACTGCTTGAGTAAAAAGATAACGTCCGATCGCAGAATGCCGTAATATGAAGTGCTGACATTCTTCCACGTCGCATCCCACCCGCCATGACCGCTGTCTCCGCTGACTTTATGAACCATTTCCACTACGTCCACAATCATGTCCGTAGTAATCACCGTTCGAACCTTCCCTTCCTCCTTTTTCGCAATTGCTAGCAGAGATCGACTTTCCTCGTCCCAAGCAAAGGTCTTTCGGACATAGTTACGTCGGCTGAAGTCCTCCTGTGATGACGGTCGTTTATGAGGGTTCGTCAACCATTCGATCAGGTCCTCTTTGGCGCTTGGAGATACACGGCGGTTGTTCGGATTCTCAATTAGATGTTGTAAAAACGCCGCTCTAGTATCTAGAGTGAATGTGACAGAATCGTGCCCTGAAGCGCTTGTCATGACGACAGCTTCACGGCCGTTTTAATATGGCATCCTCGACCTTCGTTGCAGCGTAACCACTTTAGCGCCGGCGTACGCCTCCAGTCGAGACTATTCTCGACTGGAGGCGTGGACACAAACGTAATGGGCGATGCATACGTGTCAACTCATGTTTTCGAGTATATGACCGCGATAGCTCTGAAAGAGGGTAGCCACCACCCGATCTTTGATCATTGCCTAATAATCTGTTGAGCTTTGCTCTTCAACGAAGATGGCGACTGTTGACCTGTCCATCAGATCTAAACCCGCCGTCACCACCGATGTTGGCCTGATGTGGAAACGGGCAATAGATCGTTATGAGGAAATCACTCTAGTAAAGATCGACTCTATCAACAGAGCCAACAATGTGGAGGAGATTTTGGACGAGATACATGGGAGAGAGACAATATTCAAAGGCTATCGCCACGACGGCTCCAAATTGGACAAGTTCAGATCGCTCGTGAGCAAGAGTCTGGGGCCCGTCGAGAAGTTGAGTAATATAGTTGCGTCGGCAGCTTCGACTGTAAGACCACACTTCTGCCAGCTTCTTAGTTGGTATTGACTTATGTCATATCACGACAGTCTTTCCCTCCCAGCACTGCTATTTTCTCAGCAGTCAGTTATCTTATACAAGTATGATGCTTCTATTCTTGGACAGTATGGTACTTAACAAATCTCAGTCTGCGAACACCGTGTCAGCCGATTACGACAAGATTGCCGGGCTCTTCGAGGATTTGGATTTGTATCTCAATCGGCTCAAGATCTTGGAGAAAGATGTTCCGCATGTGCCAGAGCTGGAAGTAGCTTTAACAGAGGTGCTCACATCCGTTTTAGTTATCTGTGGTATTTGTGCAAAGTTCATCAAGATGAAGCGAATTGGTAGGATGTTTTTGCCATGTCGCTTCCCCCGAGCTTTCTTACGCAGTTGTGCTAAGCAGCTTCATGAACTCAATGTCACGTATGTGGTGGACCCTTCCAAGGAAAGGTGCCGTCCATATCCATATACCTGAAATTTTTTTCCGTACCTGTTTCAAAAAGCATCATTTAGATGCCAAGAGCCTTCTTCAGCAACTGATATAAACGTGCCCTCAGTTAAGGCTTTTCGAAATCTCGTCTCTGGTGAAGACGACGAACTCTCCACCGCCTATGCGCACTTCCATAAAATGGTCGAACAAGAACAAGGCGCAGTCAGGAATGCAACTTTGTCAACAGTGGGGCAAATTCAAGCTGTAACGGGACGCACAGACCTGAATACCAAGATCCTCATGGCTCGCATAGAGAGTATGTTTGTTCTCCGTTCCATCGACTTTTTGGTATTAAAGACGATTTATAGGTCGAGAAGCTGCTCTTGAACGCGACAATCTCCTGGCAAGGCTATCGACGCTTGACTTCCATGAAAAGCACAGAGACATATTCGCAAAACATCATCAGGGCACTGGTCAGTGGCTGCTGAAAACGGATGAATTTCAGCGATGGTCCACAGCAAAAAAGCCATCAATGCTTTGGTGTCCAGGAATTCGTACGCCTTTCTTTCGCTGAAATGACCTCTGCATCAACTTGCTGACTTATAAATAAGCGGGTGCTGGAAAGACTGTCATGACGTACGCATGCCCACTACAATTCATTCGGTAATCTGTAGGCTTACATCCACTAGATCCTTTGTTGTAGACCATATCCAGGAAGCTATTCAAGGGACGAAAGCAGCGACTGCATACTTATATTGCGACTACAAGAATCCCAAGACACAATCTGAACTCGAACTTTTGTCTAGTGTAGCCCGACAATTAGCCGAGCAAACAAGCTCCATGCCTTCAGCAGTGAATGAATTTTGTGACAAGAATGCCGAAAAGAGAAGAAATCCGACAGGTGATGAGTGGATCGCACTCATTAAGTCCATTAGTCATGTCTTTCAGAGAACCTACCTCTTTGTCGATGCCCTGGTAAGATTGCTTTACCCGACCGGTCTAACAAGTTCCAGAGTCACTAATTAGTTATTCTGTGAAGGATGAATGCCCTGAAACCAACAGGGAAAACTTTCTCAGTTTGATTTCGAAAATAGAACCTTTCGTCTGGTTGTTCATCACTTCTCGCCCGCATGTGGGCATTGAAGCGAAATTCCTGAAAATATCTCGAGTCGACATTTCGGCCAGCGACTCTGATATCAAGACTTACTTGATGTCAGAAATCAGTACAAACAACAGATTATCTTTGTTCGCTGCTAAGGACGTCAAGTTGAAGGAGGATATAGTCAAAAGTGTGAGTGAAAAGGCTGCTGGCATGTAAGTCTATCAATACGAAGGTATCCACCTTCAGATATTCTGCCTGTTGAGATTAATGAAGTTATTCAGGTTCCTGCTTCCCTATCTCCAGATATACCACCTTTCCAAACAAGCGAGTCTCAAGAAGGTTCGAAACACTATGAACGCGTTGCCAACAGAAGTTTTTGCAAGTTATGGGGAGGCCATGAAGAGGATCGAGGACCAGCAAGAGGGGGATAGCGAACTAGCGAGGAGAGCTCTTTCCTACATATTTTGTGCTAAGAGACCACTGAGTGTGGAAGAGCTACGCCATATCTTGTCTATGGAAGCCGAAGATATTGAATTAGACGAAACGGCTTTTCCGGAGACTGAGATTCTGCTCAACATATCCGCTGGCCTGATCAAGATTGATGAGCAGAGTGGCGCCGCAGGGCTAGTACACTACACCTTGCAGGAGTATCTAGAAAAGAACCGGGAGAAACTTCTGCCAGACCCCGAAGTTGAAATGGGAATGGCATGCCTCACATACTTGTCATTTGACGTCTTCCAGGGAGGTTCTTGCAATAGTGGAGAGGAACTTCACCATCGATTACAAGAGTATAAATTCCTTGATTACGCTTCTCATCATTGGGGTTATCATATCATGGAGAATCAGCTTCATGAAAGGGTGGTGGGCTTGCTTTTAACATTCCTGAAGAGTAAGCAAAAGCTGGCTTCTTCCGTTCAGATATTGCACATTGCTGCACGTCGAACGAATGACTGGCATGACCGTTACCCTAAACAATTTGGGCCTCTACATGTTGTAGCGTATTGGGGTTTAGACAAGATTCTTAATGTTCTTTTCGAAACTGACATAGACGTCGACAGTCGAGATAGCTATGAAGCAACAGCATTACAGATAGCTGCTAAGCGTGGTCACAACTCAGTGACGCAGCTCCTGCTCAACAAAGGGGCCAGCATTAACATTAGCAATGTAAATGGTGAGACGGCTCTATACTGGGCAGCCAGAAGTGGGCACAAGACGACAGTAGACATGCTCCTTATAAACAGAGCCGATGTCCTGACGAAGGATAACGAAGGATGGACTGCACTGTACTGGGCTGTCGTAGGAGGAAACAATGACGTGGTGAAAATGCTGCTAGAGTATGGCGCTAACATAATCACTGCCGAATATGATGGAAGACATAAGGCACTTTATCTGGCGGCTGAGGAAGGGCATGAGCTAACTGTGCAAATGCTATTAGGCAGTGGAGCTAATGTCAATGCACAAGATTATTTGGGCAGCACGGCACTGGATTTTGCAGCAGCGCCAGGGCATGAAAAGACGCTGCAGGTGCTTCTACAGAACGGAGCTGATGTTAATTCGAGAGATAATTTCGGAAATACTGTCCTGCATTGGGCGGTTCCGCATAAAACATTAATACGGCTGTTATTGGAGTACGCGGTCGACCTCGATGCGAAGAACGACAGTGGACAGAGTGCACTTTGTTGGGCTGCTCAAGATTGGCCACTGGCAGTTACGGAACTGCTCCTCGAAAACAACGCCGACGTCAATGCACAGGACAATTTTGGATTTACTGCACTGCATCGAGCAACCTTAAGAGGGCGTGAATCGACGGTACGATTACTACTCGAGAATGGGGCTGATCCCAACATAAAGGATAAGGATGAATGGACGCCTCTGCACCTGGCAGCCCTGAAACAGTACGAGGGCCTAGTGCAAGTGCTATTGGATCGAGTTGATGATGGAAGGATGATACTGGGCTGGGTAGATTTGCAACTTCAGGACAAGAAAAGGCAGGCGTTATTGGAGGAGGCTGCAGAAGGTAAGGCGGAAGCAAGCACTGTACTTACGGGCCTGCGCGAAGCCGCCCAGAAAAGGCAATTCGGCCGGTCGCAATTGCTCTTAGAGAAGGGAGCCGATGTGAATGCGAAGGATGTTGGAGGATGGTCAGCTCTAACCATAGCTGCCAATTTCGGATATGAGGAAATCGTGCAACTGCTGCTGGAGAATGGAGCTGATGCCAACATAAGTGGATACGATAAACGGACGGCTTTGCATTGGGCGTCCGAATGGGGGCAGGAGACGGTTGTGCAGCTTTTGGTCAAGAACGGAGCCAATGTTAATGCAAGTGCGTATGGGTGGACAGCGATGCTTCTTGCGGTCAGGGATGAGTACATGGCGATTGGGCGCTTCTTAATTGAAAATGAGGCTGACGTAAACGCGGAGGATTACCATGGACGAACAGCGCTGCACTGGGCTGCTAAGCACGGCGACAGGCTAATCGTGCAGCTGCTGGTAGGGAAGGGGATCGACGTCAACGCGGAAGACCGTTGGGGGAGGACGGCGTTGATATACGCAGTCGAGAACATGCAACGAGAGGTAGTGAAAATGCTACTGGAAACCGGGGCAGCCACTGAAGCGAAATTTCGACATGATTTAACTGCACTACACATTGCGGCTTTCATAGGGTTTGAGTCAGCCGTACACTATCTGCTAGAAGGAGGCGCTAGCGTTGAAGCAAAAACTCAAGACAATCTCACCGCACTGCACATAGCAGCTTTTATGGGGTGGGAGTCGGTTGTGCAACAGCTGCTGGAAAAAGGAGCTGACGTCGAGGCAGAAGCGCGGTGGTGTGGAGTCGAAGAAGAAGAGGAATATGACTACGGCGTGACAGACGTACATATGGCTGAGAAACGATTGATTGATTTATTACGCCAGTGGTTACTTGAGGAAGGAATCGCCACTGGTGTTGGGATGGAACCTCGATATGGATTGACGGCGCGACAGCTTGCGGTTAGTGCCGGACACCCTGAGGTACAGGAATTGTTAGGTTGACTGCACTCAATCATAATGATGGCTTGCGCCAATGGTCGTCATGAAGATATCATAAGATAGTCGATGTGGGTGCAGAATTTCGATATCTATGTCAAGAACGAAAGTACGAAGTGCTTTGCCATGCCGCTTCGCTTGTGTGAATCTGAGTGGGAGCCTCTTTTTGAGGGGGTGGGGCCATGGGGGACTGTATTCTGGTCCGGAATTCCTGACAAATTTCTTAGAGTTTTTCTCTCTTTGGCATGGGTGGTGGAACTTTCAATTTTCTATCCTAGTTATAGCAGTGGTTAGAAGAAGGCATATTTGTTCCCAGCGTCTGTTCAGCGTGTGTCTTTGGCTGGGTAGCCCACAATCAAGCAACTCTACTTGTTTAAGCCTTTCATAAGCAATATCCAAATAGGCCTTCAGACCTTTCACCAAAATCTTATTGACGGCCAGTTGATGTTCGTCTTCATCTTCTAATCCATCAGCCAGCATACACTGCCATCTATTCGGCGGCATGAAGAGTAATCTCAGCGTAACCTGTGTGCGATAACAAACCTTCTCTCTATCCAATACGAAGTTACCTAAAAAGCCTGCCTCCTTCAGCTGCTGTTTCAGCTCTTCAGTAAACAGAGATAAAATAACTTCATCGATGGAAATCTCATCCCACTTATTTTCATCAAGAATGAATCCATATTCAGCAAGCAAGAAATCATTACTATGATTCCCATAACTAATGTATATTTCCTCTCCCTTCTCGATTCGTCGATCCGTGCAGATGTCGTACCCAGAGGTTGAGAACGTTACTTTGGAGGCAACATCTGCATGGTTGAAACAATCGGCAAATGGTGCGAGTGCCAAGCAATCGTAGTGGTCGACTGGTGTTTTTATTTTTGGGGAGGTGTAATAGAATGTTCGGGTGCTGACTATGAACCAGTAATATAAATATGAAGCGTTGGACACAGTGGGGAAGGCGGTGGAGACAGCGGCCCAGTCGACGGAGATTTTCTTCTTTTGATTTTCCACGAGAGATGATGATCCGGCTGGGAGCAGTGCTTGGAGCGCAGGGTGCCACATGAATGGTATTGACTCGTCGAAGTCCTCCTTGGTTGGTAGAACTGCTCGCCATGCGGCACGAACCTCGGATATGTCCATCGTCAGTTCGGCAGCCAGGAGACCTTGAACGGTGATAATGCCGATTGGTTTAGAGATGCTCTTTGGGACGGTTCGGATTGTTCGTAGGGCAGATACGGGGACAGTCAGTATTGTGTCTCCAGCCTGATTAAGCGTCAGAATGCACTCGCAGAAACAGTGGTATAGAAAGAGCAAAAGAGAAGTACAAAGTAATCAAATATAAATAATGCCCAGTCCTACATACTTTAAGCTCCTGCTTCGCAATGATACCCAGTCCCCTACCAGGAAATCTATGGGTTGCAATCCCGTTGAGTTGCACTCCTCGAGCGACAGCCCATTCCGTGAACTCGTTATTGATATCCATTTGATATTCAAGCTTATCGGTAACGGGCCCCTATCTTCGAGAGCATAAAAGTACTTGACCTCGTGGACGAGAAAGAAACTGCCGCAAAGTTTAGGCACAGTCTGGAGGATGATCCGAGATTTTGCGACTGCCTTAGGCCAACACTAAGTTGTCAACCTGTTTCGATCACATGATTATACCGTTCTCCGTTCTGCCATAGTAAATCGGAGCTAGAAACCGTCTCCGTTGATGATAAAATACGGAAATTAGGGAATTAGGCAGGCATTCACAGTTTCCTTGTGTCCGATAGTTTTCAGAGTCATTGCGAAATGGGCGAAGCTTCAAAAATATCGAAAAAATGCTCGGGATTACAAGCGTCGATGGGAAAGTTACTGACTGGAGCATTTGGCATAGCACAAGGGAATTTATGTAATATAAATAAAGGATCCAACGGACAGAATTTAGAGATTCGTCTTGACGTGAATCGCTTCAAATATCCTTAGTTTGACTCTGAAGGATCCGGCACATCATCAACCTTAAACCTTTCCCGACTCATGAATCCTTCCTGAGCCTCGTTGATTGCTTCATTCGGATGAACCTTCATGTGATATTACGTAACGGATCACGTCGCGTGTGGTCACGTGCTTCGGTCGGCCCACGCGCCAAGTCGCACAGTTTGTATGGATTTCCAAGGTCCCTGGTGCAATATATGTCATTAACTAAAACTAATATCTATCGCCAAAGCGAACTCATCTCTTATGCAAATGCTTGCTAGCCCTAAAATACAATGCAATGATTTCCTCCATTACCTTGTCAAACTCTTTAATTCGTTCAGAGTGTATTGTATCTTCCTTCTCCCAGGAATTCTCACCCGTTGGACGACCCTTCCATTTAACAAAATATTCAATTTTCCCTCTCCGTTCTCGCCTTTTGAGTAGTTCCACACCGAAGTTCCCTTGATAGCTCGCCTCAAATTTGTCAACGAGATCCGAACTGATGTCGTCCTGTTCCTGCCACGTATTTTCATCATCACCAAAGCCTTCCCACTTCACGAGGTACCAAACCACATTACGTACTGTCGACTTTGCAAGCAGCGCTTCAACCTCGCAGATCTCATCTGTATCGCTTTCCACTCCTTGGCTGCTACAGCGCGGCTGCACTGCTGTATGCTCTTTGTTCCCAGTTGATAGTATGCTTCCGTGAGCACCCTTAGTGGAGTCGGCAGTTGCTGCTACAAATGGTGTGAAAGGAAGAGCATCTCGAAGCTGTGGATCAAGCAACTCCATTGAAAAACCAGATGGACATATTCCCCCGCTTTCGTTAGCTGAGTTCGTTATCTTGCGTTTCTTGCACTTAGACGTCTGCGAGCGGTTCTTCAGCTTTGTGCAGTAGTGCACTTGCAACGTCGCTTTGGTCCTTTCCGGGAAGTACTCTGCTATTTCGTCCCATGGCAATTTGTCTTTCTCTTTCAGCTGTATCAACAGTTCGTCGTCATCTTCTGAATATGTCGAATGCCTACCAGGTCTGCTCACAACTCGTTCTCGCAAATGCGGCCGCTCCCTGTCTCTATTGCCACTAGAGGCGCTGCTGATGACATTTTGCGCCTGCTCTATGTCGAGAGGAAATGGTAACTCTTCCTGGGAAAATTTAAGGCAATACACTATTCCCGACTGGAATGTTTGCAGTGTAAGGGATCCACGGATTGGTATCTCGTGACTCTCTAGCGGGGAATCAGACGACGTCGCTCCTGTTTTTGGAGTTGAGGCGTCAGAGGAATTGGCCATAGCAAAAGAAGCCTCTTTCACATTGCTGGGGCTCATGTGTGCAGAGCTCTCCGTGCTTTTTGCCCGCCTCGGCCGTTTCAGTCTCCGCTCCTGTATCTCAGAGCCACCGGTGTCGCTATCATTGACGTGGTCTCCATTAATAGATTGACTCTTTGGAGAATAATCGAAAGAGGCCGCTGTTCCTCCCTGGCTTAAGACATCCCAGGAATCGGTCGGAAGAGTAACGTCTTTCACATTGCTGAAGTTTGTTTGTGCAGAGCTATCCGTGCTCTTTGCCCTCCGCCGTTTTAAACGCTGTGGGTGTGGGTGCTCTATATCAGAGCCGGAGCTATCATTGGCGTGGTCTTCGCCATCAGTACCATTTGTGCTTCCATCTTGATCATCGCTGCGCTTCAGCCCAGGGCTTAGTTCAATCGTGTCCATATGGTCGTTCTTTGCGGAAATGTAATCATTGCTATCACTTCTTGATTTTGGCTGATATTTATCGATCTTGCCTTCGTTCGTTGGAATTCCTTCGGTCACAGAGGTAGCGCTGGTTTCTTGAACACTACCCAAACCGGATAGACTCTCTGTCTCAAGATTGCTCATGTTTTGAGAGGCAAGCAACAGCACGTCATTCACCTTTGTCGTAGTTGTCTGGATCGTCGCATCACTTAGTGCAGCTTGAGAGCCGAAGAGGTCTACTAAGATCTCCCTCTCAGCATCGTCCAGCACTCCACTGTCGCCCACATCATCGTCCAGGAGGATAGGGTCATCTGAAAGATATGAGCAACGCGGATTGCAATTACTGGAGGGTTTTGGCTACTCACCCTGGCTTGTACCCCACTTCAGTTTTTTAATTGAAGGAAATTCTATCTCTGTATCGCTGACGTCGGCTGCATCTTGACTGTAACAAATGTCCTGCGTGATTTCTGCATTTGGTCAGCTGTTGCCGTCGTGGAGAAACACGGACACATACTTTTTATGCCCTGTAATGACTGGCCTTGATCAGAAGGTAGTTCTACCTGGTCCGTACCGGATGTTATGTACTTCTGGGCCGCGCCATGCGTAGTTGTCCTTTTGACCTCTTCATAACGGGCAAAATCTGTAGACGGTTGAAAGTAAATCGAACCAGCACCAGCTTGTGGATGCAAAGGTGGCCGGAATGTCGGAGATGGTATAGCTGCAGGAGGAATTGGTCGATAAAATTGCTGGCTGTCCCAATGAATAGAAGTCATCTTGAACTTCGATGTTGGAGGAAGTCTATGAATTCGCAATCTGCTCACGGACACACGTCCTATATATACCCGCAGGCTACGGCTAGCGCCTGGAAGGTGGCCTACAGAACACCTGTAGCAGTCGCCCAACCACTTCGCTCAATTTTGGTATTACGTATCAGGTTTCTGGATGGCGTACTCATCCCGTGTGTGACGATCTTCCAGATCGATATCTGTGGAGGCCGCATCCTGAAGCAAATCAGTGGGTACTCTGGCGGAAACGACTCCAGGCTCGTGATCTATCACGTAGAGGCTGAGCTTAGGGTTAGGGTTGGGGTGGGTTAGGGTTACTAACCCTAACCCTAATGTACGTTATATGCTAAAACTACCTTATAAATAATTATTACTAACGTACATGTATAGCGAAAGCGCCAAACAAGCGAAAGCGCCAAAATGATGCGGTGACCAAACCCCCCAACTAAATGTTAAATTCCTCAACAACAAAACATGCCCCATAAAAACGATGAAAGCCAATTAGTGCTAGCTATCCAGGCTATGCAAAGCGACCCAAAGTTACGCCTTCGAGTTGCTGCTAGGATCTATTCTGTGGACCACCGCAAGCTAGGTCGTCGTCTAGAAGGTGTACCTTCACGACGCGATATCCAAGCCAACTCACAGAAATTAACTAACCTAGAGGAGTCCGTCCTTGTTCAGTATATACTCGACCTAGCTGCCAAAGGGTTTCCTCCTCGGCTGTCTGTTGTTGAAGATATGGCAAGTCGACTACTTGCAACACGCGACGCGTCACGCGTTGGGTCGCGTTGGGCTTCAAACTTTGTTAAGCGGCGTGTAGAGCTCCAGACACGCTTTCAGCGCAAATACGACTACCAGAGGGCTAAGTGCGAAGATCCAGAAGTTATTAATGGCTGGTTTGAGCTTGTGCGTAACACAATTGCGAAATATGGTATCGATGAAGCAGATATCTACAACTTTGATGAGACTGGGTTTATGATGGGCGTTATCTCAACTGCTATGGTTGTAACAAGCTCAGACGGGCGGGCAAAAGCAAAGAAGGTACAGCCTGGTAATCGGGAATGGGTTACAGTAATCCAAGGCGTTAGTTCTCAAGGTTGGGCAGTACCACCATTTATCATTGTTGCAGGCAAAAACCACCTTACATCTTGGTATGAGAATAGTGGATTTTCAAGCGATTGGGTGATTTCTGTTACTGAAAATGGCTGGACTACAAACGAGAGAGGCATGGATTGGATTCAGCACTTTGAGAAGCATACAAAGGCCCGGAGTGTTGGTGGTTATCGCTTGTTAGTCCTTGATGGTCATGAGAGCCACCACTCAGATGAGTTTGAGGAGTACTGCAAGGAACACAACATTATTACGCTTTGTATGCCTGCTCACTCTTCTCATCTACTCCAGCCACTTGATGTTGGCTGTTTCGGCCCGTTAAAGCAGGCCTATGGTCGGCAAATTGAAGATATGATGCAGGCTCATATTTCTCATATTACAAAGGATGACTTCTTTCCTGCCTTCCACGCTGCATTTAACACTACAATGACGGAAAGTAACATTCGAGGCGGGTTCCGAGGGGCAGGGCTTCTTCCATTTGACCCTGAGAGAGTGATATCTACACTTGATCTTAAGTTAAGGACACCAACGCCTCCAAGCTCCCGCCCAGGTACTGCTCAACCTTGGGTTTCTCAGACACCAAACAACCCAATTGAAGCTATGTCACAGTCTACATTTATTAAAACTCGGATTTCACGCCATCAAAATAGCTCTCCAACCTCAATCTATGCAGCTGTTGACCAGTTTACAAAGGGTGCATCGCAAATAATGCATCAATTAGCACTGCTAAAGGGAGAGAACCAAAACCTATGACAGGCAAATGAAGTACTAAGCAAGCGCCGGAGAGCTAGGAAAACACGACTACAGCAAGGAGGATCACTTAGTCAACAAGGGGCACAAGAGCTACAGGATGAGAGGGATGTTGTGCAGCAGGTAGAGCAGGAAATAAGGGCAAGCCGTGGTTGGAAGCCAAGGGAAGAAACCCGTGCCCATCGCTGTGGCAAGTGTGGTGAGACTGGGCACAATGCGCGCACGTGTCAGATTGTAATAGACACCTCTGAGGAAGAGGACTCCGAGTAGTTTCAATTGATTTCTAATGTTGTGGTAGATTTATCGCAATGTTTGTCGTGAGGGTAGATAATTTTGGCGCTTTCGCTTGTTTGGCGCTTTCGCTATACATGTACGTTAACTTATATATATTTACAGCATTGTTACGTTGTCAGTCGTGTTCATGGTCGGTCGTGTCGCGTCGCGAGTCCGCTCCCGAAGTGTCCCACAATCGCTTTTGCGTCCCAGTTCGCTTTCGCCAACCGCCTCCAGGCGGTGGTTTGAGAACCAACGATTAGATACCTCATTCACTTGAGCTTTGAGCTTCTGGGGACAGTCTCGAGCTCAATGTCCATTTTGTCGGCATATGAAGCATTTCCCAAGTTTCATGAGCATTTCTTTTGCTGGATCTTGATGCGGTGGTCGATACAGCTTCTGCGTCTTGTTTTGCATGTTGGAATCCATTGTAGGTTGAGGGATTGAAGTTCGAAGTGCCTGGCCCTGATTTTGAGTTTGGCCCATGTTGTTCGAAAATAACTTTGGCTTCCTTTTGTCTTCTTGTTCCTTGATCCGCTGAATGTTCTGGTCGATGAGCATGCATTTCTTTGCAAACTCGTGAAGTGTAGTAGCTCCAACTTCAGCCACTAAGGCTTTCTGCATCTGTTGGTTGACTTTGAAGCGCAAGTCATCCAGCAAAGTTTCTTCAGAGTAATCAAGCTCTGTCGTGAGCCTTTGGAACTCAGCCCAGAACACTGCAAAGGTGTTGTTTCTCTGATACAGCTTTCGATACTCAGTTTGAGCTGTGTGCCTTCGATCGGGATCACTGAAGACTTTTTCCAAAAGTTCGAGAATTTCTTCTGCTGTCTGCAATTTGTTTGTAGAGTTTGGTCGAAGCCTTGGATTGACATGTCGAACTGCCAGTCCTCCCAGTCGACTCTGAATGTAGCTCATTTGTAAAGTCTGTGTTGGAAAATGATCAATGTTGGCTTCGAGCTTGAGGCGAATTTTCACAACCCAGTCTTCAAATGCTGGCTCTATCCCATCTGTGAGGATTGGAGGGTCTGGAATCCGAGCTGACAGTCGAATGTGAGAGTGGTGTCCTGGTTCATTTTTCAGAGCTTGTTGGGTTTGCTTTTCAAGATATTTCTGAATTGTTTGTTGCTCTGTGATTTGTTGCTCGTTGCTCTGGATCAGTTCCTGTAACTGGAGAATGGCATCATCCTTTTCAGCCAGTATCGAATTTGAGTCCTCTGCTAGGGCCAAATAGTCCCGAAGAATGTTCTTGTGCAAAGTCCATGCCATTTTCTGGTTGGCGACAGATAGTTTCTGGAATTCGTCAAAGGTTTCAACATTCCATTCAGCCTTTTCATGTCGATTTGCAAGTATAGATTCATGTCTCTCTTGAGCTGTTTTGCCCAGAGTGTGCAGGAAGGTTTCGGATTTGAAATTAGGATCATGAAGTTCATTGGTTTGGTTTGCAGAGCTTGGAATTGATGCTCCTTCTGCCAGGGATTCCTGGTCTTGTTCTGGATCATTTCGAGCTGCCATTGCAGCTTTTTCTTCAGCTGTATAAGCCATAGCGAGTTGCTATTTCAATTTCAGTTTATATCGTCAAGTCAGACACATATTGCCAAAGGCCCTATTGTGCAGTTGTTGGCCGTAGGAGCCACTCGAGAGGAGCGCACTTCCCTCACAGTTATATCCTTGTCGAGGGAGCGTTGTAAAAGGTCTGGCTTGCGAAGGTGGTGTGTGTGTGTCGAGCTGACTGTCGAAAGCCAACTTTGAGGGGTTGCCTCGAGATCGTCCTGGAATCGACTTCAGGATAAGGTTTCTGGTTCTGGGGTTTTCAAAGAGTGGATTTCGATTTCGATTTCAGAAGAGGGTTCAGCTCAAAGAGCAGGAAAAGAGGTATAAGAGAGATTGAGTTTTATGTCACGGTTCACCAAGGCATAGGGCGCCAGTTGGGTATTATGAATTAAACTCAATCTAGAGAAGAAAGGAAAGAGAAGAGGAGCACTCGAGCAGTGGCTCGATCTATATACAGCTATTGTGGAGTGAATTCTCTTTAGCGAGACCAGTTCTGAGAATTCACTCCACAACTGAAAACTTCGCTCCAACCCCGGAAAGCTCCCCACACCCCTGAACCCCCACTCGAGCTGCAAGGCGCACTTGATATCGTAACACTACTAAAGCAACCTGGTAATCCTTCAAAGTATAAGGAGTTATTACTACAGTTTATTGTGTTGAATAATCTATTGATATGCCTTGTTGAAAGCTATTCATTCCATGAATTAGTTTAATTCTTAAGCCCAACAACTATGGCAATAACAGCTCGTATGCTACACCGAGAACTACAGCGTCAGTTCTCATATCACCGAGGCCAGCTACAACTTGAGCTCCATTCTCATATTAAGAGAGGAGGCCGGATATCAATAACGACAGATGCATGGTCTGCACGGAATTATACAGACTATGCTGCGATTACTGCACACTGGATCAACGATAAATGGCAACAGAAATCTAAAGTACTTGACGTTGTACATCTTCAAGAGCCTATCCATAGCGGCGAATATCTAGCTCAACAATTACAGGAGCTGTCTTTACCTGTACAAGGGATAACGCCTCAGCTAATACTGTTATGCTTGCAAAATATGAGAAAATAGCCAGAGACCAGGAAGTTACAACATAACAACCCTGGACGTTTAGAGTCAAGGAAGGAGATGTACGATGCATAGCCCATATTATCAATATTCAAGATGCTCTTAAGACTTTAAAAGTGGCCCCTGCTGAGCAAGTTGAGAGTTATCGGTGTGAGCAGGGAGCTGCGCGGATTCCAGTAAGCTTCAATAGTAATATTGAAGTTAAGAATACTCTTGGTAAGCTACGAAGACATATCTATGTATTCAGAGATCGAAGGCAATGGAAAGATGCTCTTCAAAAGCAGACTATAGCAGCTGGTCTTAAGAAGCTACAACTATCACTCGATATGCCAGTCCGGTGGAACTCAACGTACGAAATGGTTTCAATAGCTATTAAGCTACAGACGCCAATTACAGCGATCTGTGCTACTCAGAAAATGGATCTAAGTATGAGAGGTATCGCTCTTACACCAGAGGATTGGATAACGCTCCACGC